TTGCTCGTTTGTTTTTAAAACCTAGCTCAGGCTGAGGTTCGCACTGACAAAAATTTCGGTTTCGCACTATAAGTTGAAAGCACGCAATAAGCTAATATGCGATATGCAATAAGCTTGAAATGCGAAGAAGAAGAAGAAGAAGAAGAAGTGTTGCGTACCATCTACGGTGGAGTGCAAGTGGATAACGGAACGTGGAGGAGGCGTATGAACCACGAATTGCACCAGCTGCTGGGAGAACCATTTACATTGCAAACATTGGGCGACTACGGTGGACTGGGCACGTCGTAAGAATGCCGCACGACGACCCAGTGAAAATGGTTCTAGAAAGCGACCCAACAGGAACAAGAAGAAGAGGCGCGCAGCGGGCAAGGCGGATCGACTAAGTAGAAGGCGACCTGCGGATCCTTCGCAGACTACGAGGCTGGCGAAGTATGGCCATGGTTCGAGTAGAGTGCAGCCGACTTCTTCGGTCAGCAGAGGACAACAAGGCCTCAGCCAGATTGGTAAGGAGAGGTTAACCTTCTAAATAAATTAACCCAAAAACGTTGTTGAAACTTGTAAAAACATTCACAAACTCCTATTGGGAGTAGCATTCGCAATACCGGATAGTGCCAAATATTTCATGTGAACATTGTTTATAGCAATGTTACGGCTAGGTAAACAAAAGAGAGCTGATGTTACTTCATATTAAATCTCCACCATACCAAGAATCGATGAATTTGTCGGTTAAACTGGTAATTTGACTGATTTGGGTTGTTTGTTTTTGGATGGAGTTTATGATGTCGATTGATTCGGTCCGAATTGATTTTATTAGAAAAAAAAATTGAAAATCTATCATGTGTCCAAAGTAGCCTCTCTATCAACGGCGAGCATTTTTTACAATGATTCTTGGTTGTACATATGCTTCACATTGAACACTATAAAGGCATTTCTATTGGTATCTACTTTAATTATTTTATTCGGATATTGCGGACCAAAAAAGTGGCAAAAGAAGCCCCGTCCGACGGTATTTGAGCGTTCACGATGCATTTCAAAGAGTATGGTGCACTGCCGATTAGACCAAATCAAAATTGAGAACGATATCACTTAAAATCGTAAAAAGTTAAGTTACTCAGAGACTTAGTTAAATTGTCCACGTATATGAGTAAATGTCACTTTTGAGTGAAATCCATATCAATTTTGGCTAACTGAGGCCGTGAAGAACTGATGATACTAGCCATTCTTACTTTATATGAATTTCTATTATTATAAATGAATTTTCGCAAAATCATTGCTCCATAGGTGAATGAAAATTTTTAAAAAGCATAATAATCCATCTTCGTGCATTTCCCATAATACCCATAAATTAGTTACATGCTATGAAAGAGGAAATGATACGTATGCTAAAAAAGACAAGCCTCTATCATCATAGCACTAAAGTTAACTCCAAAGTATGAACGTCAAAAACAGATACCTAAAAGCAAAATAAGCAAAAAAAAACAAAAGTGCCGACAACGGTAAGCTGCAAGGTGTGCGTGAATTAATGGACGATGAAATTGGAAACGAATCGATTAATGAAAGTGACGACGAAGGAGAATTGGCAACAAATGCGGTGAATGATTTTCCCCCATCGTTCACACACCGGCCGGTCAGAGAAATTAATATGGATCTTCATCCGATGGAAAACAAAGCATATTTCTGGATGGTGCAAAACTTTGAACGCAGGTTGATAGATTTGGATGTTTTGTTATGAGAAAATTGGCACTGATTTCCAACGTGGTTTGCATTTCAGCTTTCCGTTCCATTTCGGAGAGGCGAAAGTCACGACTTGGAAACACTGACCTTATCCGATTGGCCTGATTGACCGTGAACCGTCACCGCCACCGACGACGACAATTCAAATTCCAAAGTAGTTCAATTTCTTCGCTCGCCTAAGGACAAAAACCGCGCAGTCAGCTCAGGTTGGTACAATGCTATCGCTGTTTGCCGGTTTCTTATTTGCCGCAAAAGGTACAAATCTGGTAGAAGTGTAAACGTTACATAAAAATTGGCTGCACGCAGAAGCGCATCCGAAAAACTATGGAAAACGCGGCGAACCACCTCAACCACAGCTTTTCCCAGACATCGAAGCCTATTCAGGTGCAAGCCCTCCACCACCGCGACGAAAATAGCTACGAATAGGTTGGCTAGAGAGAAAGAAAAACGTGACCAAACTAATTAGCTATCGAACACACGAGTGCGCGCACACCCGCCGTCAGAGCTGAGTCGACGAAGACGAAGACGAGACCTTCACCAGACGTTGTTGTAATGATTGCCTGTGCGGTCCAAACATGGATGCTGTAGCATAACATTGCAGTCATCGTGATTTCATTGAAAGACGCAGCACGCAGCACTCTACCTTCTTGCTTCCCTCACGGATGAAAGTGAGAACTGAACTTTCCCATTTCTCCGGTTCCAACGGAAAGTGAAGGTTGGTAGGTAGGTACCAATTGCGGGCCGTTCTACTTTCGCACGACCATTCGCGTTGGCCCTTTTGGTGTGGCCGGTAAGAGATCAACATCGCCGCGGTGGCCATCGTCGGTTTACCTGCAGGTCCATATTTAATTTCTCTGCGGCACACGGTGGTTGCAGCTAGGTTAGTTTTAAGCGTCATTATTGGATCAAGCCACATGGTGGATAAAATAGTCATCTAAACTCGAAATCTGTGACAGGAAATCGTGTGATCGATGCTTGCATTGGGGGAAATGAACACTCCCTTAGGGTAACGATTGGAATGGTGAATGACTTGTTCTCCGTTATACTGAAACGATACCTTTGTAATTTTTTTTAATGATGGAAACTTATCCAAATTGATATAGGGGAAATTCCGGTTCGGCATTTCTTTACTTTTTATCGTCAGGGGGGGGTGCGCTCAATGATTGTACAATACAATATACAATAAACAAATCAATGATTTCATTTACCCCTGAAGAGAATAGGTAAAGAAGTACCCTTGTCGTCATATGTATATCATAAGTTAAAAAAATTTCAAATCCTCAAATTCGTAGCATCGGAATGATTCATAAACAGTTTTTTTTGCTCTAACTTTTTAATTTAGATTTTATTTTGAAAAATATATTGAAAGTGCACTGCCTAAAATCGCATACCGTGAAGGCACCATAGTTGACGTTAAGGAAATATCAAATTCAATGTTGATTTAAAAAATCAACACGCGATGAATTTATTTGAAATTTTGCCTGCCACTATTTGTAACATCCAAGAATAGGAGAAAAATATAAAACTTGACGAACTTGTTAAAAACTGTTGAGAAAAAATGACTGTTGATATCGTTCGTCGTGTGCCATATAATGACGCACTAATTTTCCTATGTTCCTAATTTGACGCAAAATGTTCCTTATTAGACGCACTATAAAAATGTTATAAATTAAATCCATAATGATCGATTGTTGTATATATTGTTATCAGGGTTGCCACATATACAGATTATTCTGTATTTTACAGATTTTTGGGTCATTTAATGACCAAGATTCTGTGTATACAGATTTACAGATTATTGGCTAAAATACAGATTTTACAGATTCTCGTGGTCTTTGCGTCAATTTTTTTTTGTGAATTTAATTCAGTGTGCGTACCTGCCTATACCTACTACCTATGAAACACATAAACTTTGCTCTTCTACTGGTAACCTTCTTGACTATGACATTCATGTACCTTTTTTTACTAATGTTGGTTCACTTGTGCACATTGACGTTTCTGACGTTTATAATACGCACACTTGCGTAATCCCGTTATCAAGTGCGAAGTTTGTTATCCTCACTTTCGCTCCTGACAAAAATGTTGGTTTGTTATTGTTATCCTCTCTTTCGCACCATCAATACTCGTGCGCATAGAATGGACTATGATCAATGAGAGTTACTGAAATGTTTTGGGGGAGTGAAAGGGTGAGAAACAGTCGGTTTGCTTATGGGATTTGTCCGTAAGAGTAAAGAGTAACAGCACGTCTTGCGTCTTGCGTTTGCGTTGTGGATACGTTAATGTTCGTAAGTATCCGGAAGACATTTTACATTTGTCGAATCAAAGCTTTAGTGCCGATTAAATTTCCCCAACAAATATTCGCGAGGCTTTAAAAAAAAATGTCTAAAAGGACAATCGAGTCATATTTTTCTAAAGGTAAGCTTATTTATAGCTTTTTTGTGAATTTCACTCTAATTCATAATATTTCTTAGCAGGTGGAAAGTTGTCGATCGTACCACTGAAGGCATGCGAAAAAGAACAAGTAGGACGCAGTCCGATTTTGAAGGAGCAAACAGGTAATTTCGCAACACCCGCTGGAAAGTTTCCACTCGATCCCGATAAACAATCGGATGTGCATGCAAATTTTGAAGAAAAATCAAATCTTTCCGTTGGTTATTCATCGGATGAAAGTTCAGGTATATCTTAGGAATCTAGATATTATTGTTTTAATTATTGTTAGTAATTGTTACCAATATAGTGTTTCCATTTTAACCTTATTCTAATTAAATAGACGCGCCAGACGCTCCTTCAAGTTCCTCCAAGGTGGCTGGGTCTGTCTCGTTGGAAAAGCCGGGTTTCAGTGAAGCACCTACACAAACCAGTGGTAGATTTTCTTTGTATGAAGTAAAAACTGTCGTCTAATTTTTTTTGTTTTAGGTCTATCGACAGATGTGTCAAATGGCAGTCAACCATATGCTGATAATTCAGACGAATCATCAAGATCTACTCCTGTAACCGCAAAAATCATTAAAAGGAAAAGAGGCAGAACCTTAAAAGAACCGAAAGCAAAGGTAATTCAACGATTTTCTTTAAAATGGCTTGATTCACCGGAACTTATGTGTTTCGAGAAGTACCAAAATGATACGCTGTTTGCATTCTGCAAAATCTGCCTAGACAAACTTGGCATCGCTCGTGGTGGAAAATCAAATTTGATAACCCACTTAAACACTAAACGCCACCGTGAAGCAGCAGCCAGATTGGACACGCCACTGGTGTTAGAGTCAAAAATGTATGATTCTCCCTCCTTAGATAAAATCAGCGAGGCTGAGCTTAAAATATGTTCATGGGCGTTGGAACATAACGTGGCCTTCGCTGCTGTTGATAAGCTCGCCGAAGTGTTAAAAGGCTTGTCTATCGAGCCAAAGTTGTTGCAAAAGTTGAGGCTGGGGAGAACAAAAACAGCATCAGTTGTGGAGTCGGTTATTGCGGTGACTCAGCATGATGAACTTGTCGCTCAGATGAGACACAACGAGTTTTCCATCATTATTGATGAGTCTACCGATCTAAGTAGTAACAAAACACTTGCAATAGTAGTCAGGTTGATGGATCAAGAGTCGTTTTGTGCTAAAGATGTTTTTTATACTACCATTGAAGTTGAGTGTGCTGATCATGTAACGCTTCACACTGCCATTGTTGCACAATTTGTCTCAGATAACATAGACTATAAGGAACGGCTCAAAGGATTTGCTTCGGATGGAGCATCTGTGATGATGGGACGAAACAATTCTGTAATGCGATTGTTTAAAAAGGAGTGCCCGGATATGATCCACATCAAATGTACTTGTCATTCCTTAGCATTGTGTGCTAGCTACGCGTGTGAAACTATTCCAGCATACATGGAACAGCTTATGCGAGACATATATAATTATTTGTCAAGCAGCCCGAAACGTTCTGCGGAATTTAAAACTATACAGGAGATTGTTGACCTCAAGCCGTTGAAGATCCTCCATCCGTCCGCTACGAGATGGCTTTCTCTAGAGGCGGTTATCAAACGAAACCTTGACAGATTTGACGAGCTCAAATTATTCTTTTCCTTCCAAGTTAAATATGAGCACACTCAATCGGCCAATCGCATATTGAAACATCTCAATGACCCTATGACAAAACCGATAATGCTGTTCCTCAACTATGTATTGCCGCTCATCAACAACGTTAACCGCACTTTTCAGTCCGAAAGTTCTCAGTTCTTCGAAATTTACAACGAGATAAAAACTTTGCTGTTCATTATATTGGGAAACTTGTGTTGGGAAAATTATGTCGAGAGTTTCGCTGACGCTAACCTTGATGTACAAGATTTCGAAAACTTTCTGAAGAAGCCTGAAGCTGTTTACGTTGGCATTGATGCAGAAGAAGCCGAAAGCGGATTGGACGAAGCAAGAAAATTGACTTTCAAAACAATTTGTCGGGACTTTTATACTGAACTTGTAAAGCAGATTTCCAAGCGATTTGATTTCAGTGATCCAGTTATTAAAACTGCTTCCTTGATAAATCCCCAAATCTTCATCAAGCTGCCAAATCTGAACGATTTGATGCGGCAATTTCCGCATTTTGTTGAAGCAGCCAATAGACAAGAGGTGGACAACGAATTCAGGCTGTTGAAAACGAGTCTTATGCACCAGAAATTGACCGGCGTAGATGTGACTTGGCCTCAGTTATTGGATATCAAGAGGCGTGATGGAAAGTTTTCATATCCAATGCTTCGATTGTTTGTGCAACATTTTTTGATAGTACCGCATTCTTCGGCTTGCGTGGAACGTATATTTTCACTATACAATGCAAACAAATCAAAATCCAGAAATCGATTGGCCCCACAGATGATGGACTCCATTTTGAAAGCAAAGAACTATGTATCAGCCCAAGGAGGAGCATCAAATGTCAAATTGACGGAGGCTTTGAAGGCGAAGTTCAACAAAACCATGTACAAGCATCATTCGGCTGAGAAAAGATAAACGTGAATTGTTTTGAGTTCAGTTTTGTTATTTCGACTCGTACATAACCTCAAAAAATTAAATTAAAATTAAATCAATACAATAATATGCATTTGTTTTTCCTAATCTCCATTAGCTCTCCGAGCACCACACTGGAAATGAACTCGATTCTTTTGCAAAATGCTGTATCTCGGATTCTATTTATCTGTTTTCAAAGGTTTTTTTAAGAGCGGTGCCGGTGGTGTGATTGTCTCTCAACCCAAAAGGCCAGGGTTCAATCCCAGTCGGTGGATGTAAAGCCGTTGGTCCCCGGTCCATGAGTTGATGGGTCGATAGGTAAGGTCCAGGTGTGGGAGCTGTTGCCTCCCTGGCGTCGGTAGCATTGGTACTCCGTACGGAAAACAAGATCGACGGAAAAACAACTCAAGGAAAAAAAAAAGGATTTTAAAACGTTGGACGGGTAACCTTCTGAACTTTTCATTAACCTGTTGTTCACACTCCCTGATTCTGTAGTAGCACCATAAAATCTGGATTACTAAATTTTAATAAAATTTTCAAAAGGTCACTATTCTTTCTGTAGTGTAATTAAAAATGTGTGTATGGTGCATTCTATTAGATACGTTTATAGGCTTTCAGTGGAAAATATAAGAGGAGAAATAAATTAGTTTCAACTTGGTGAAACAACATGCCTACCGACTCGACAAAAACTGAAAAACCAAACATTACATTAATTTTTAAACTCGTCACAGTATGACGAGATCAATCAAACCATTAAAAAGGAAAATAATGCCCTCTCCAACAAGATAACTACATCAAAAATACGTTAAAGAATACCGAATAAATTACTTGAAGAGTAAATACATTTTTTTTTACTAAACCTTCAGTTTAATTGATACAGGTTTTTAATACAGATTTCTAGTCCTACGATACAGATATACAGATTTTCTCAGAAAATAATACAGAAATAAATGTGGCAACCCTGATTGTTATATGCGTAGCGGGTATATAACATTATATTATTTATTTAATGAGTTTGGCCTTTCAGGAACAGATTAAGACCATGCCGTAGACATAGATTTATCAACAATGTTCCTATGTTCTTGATTTTGGCGCACTGATTTCGCAATGTGCCTTGATTGACGCAAAGTGTTCTTTATTTGATTGCTCTGAACAAAATGATGTGAATTAAACAATTAATTACTGTTTATTCAAATTTTTGTAATATACATATCGGCAGCTTTAGATTTAGACTCTTGACGGCCCCTTAGAGCTGCAGATTTTTTGGCCTCTCTAGTTTCTTCTCTGCTCGAATCTGTTCTTCCTTCTGCTTTTACGATTCCATTTTTTTTAAATGTTTAAATGATCTTTATTTCAGTTCAACTTGGATGATTACCATATTCGATTCCATTTGTGCATACCATGCTTTATATTCTTCACTTGTAACAACAGCCGGTGGACGGGGACGCTTACGTGCAGCTTTTGGCACCTTAGGTGTTGTTTGTGGCAAGAAAAATGCTTTGTTGAACAGATTCTCCTTTTCCTCAGATAAACCTGATTGAGATAAGTCGTGTGATGTCTCTGACTCCGCATGCTCATCTGGATGCTTCTCCGGAAGCATTGGAAGGGTTTATCACTTTCTTCTTGTCCTTCCGTACATCTGACGGATTCGTCATTGCTTGGGCTCTCTATGATCTGAAATTTGTCCCACCTTGACATCATCTAAAATTAAATCAATATTTATAATTAATCCATCAGGTACTTCTAAAAACATATTAAGGAATTGGTACCTTCAATTTTATCACTTCCGAAACCATAAAAACCGTCTGTTTGATTATCATGCTTATTAGAAATCGACTCTGCCTTTTTTTTTCATCTGCTACCAAACATAGAACAGGTTGGTATCATTTGCAGAATCCGGCCAAATCAAAGCTGACTGATGTTTCTCAAATAGTTTTAGCTGTCCAACCTTGAGGTGCGATTCCAAACTCCGCAGTAAATTGTTTTCCTTAATAGTTTCGCTGTTTTCTGTTTTTGTCCGGTTGAATACGCCCGTCCCTCTCATAATTTGGTTTATCTTGCTCTTGAAGAAGCATTTGATAGTTAACCGCATTAGGATCCCATGACACGATTCCACACTTGCGGAAACCATTTATAAGTATGGGTTTCAAGTTCTTCATATTATCAACCGCTTTTTCCAAAAGCAGTGCAATTTCATGCTTTGGCAAGGACTCACCAGCATGAAAGGTTCGATACTCAATAAGATGTCTGTTCCATTGGACCTTCAATGGTCTAAAAAAGGATACGTCCAATGGCTGGAGTACTTGTGTCGAATTCGGAAACAAGAAAATCAGAGAGATCTGGTTCGTGCGACAATCAGCGTTGCCAGATATACCGATTTATCGGTATTTATAGCGATTTTTGAACTTGATACAGGTATACAGATAAGGATTCTCAGAATACCGATTTATGAGATTTTATACCGATTAACACCGATTTTTTGAAAATTCAAAATGATGATTGTGAGAGACTTTAAGCTTTTGGAATATCTCAAATTCTTTGAGCCTTCTCAAAAAATATTCATCCCTAAAAATGTCTTATGCTTGACACTCTTTCGGCTAATGTTTCCATTTCCTCGCCGTTTTTGACTAACCAGGAATCGAGAAACAGCTGCTGGCTCATCTCGGTAATTCCTGGGAATCTGAAAATATTTTTATTCAGTGAACAAATAGGTCCATCAAAATGTTCATTTTTTAACTTCCTGAAGTTGGAAGTTCCTTCTAGCTTGCCCCGTAAGTTATTATCCGATTCCTACCGGAAAGTTATTTCGACTCCCTTTGGAAGCTATTTCTGGCTTCGCTCGAAAGGTTCTTCCGTTTTCTCCCGCAAGTTTAGTTTTCCAACATCCGCAGAGCTTCAAGATGCTTCCACAGTTTTATTGCAGTTCAGGAAAACTTCAGTAACTTTTCAGAATTTATGGGTAAGCTTAAAGATTTGTAAGGGTAAGACCTGTTAAAATTCGAGAACCCGGGACTCTTCAGGGAAATTTAATGGTTTTCATGACAGTTCCATTTGATTCAGGGGCATTGCGAGAACTTTAGGGATGCTCTGAGAACATCAGAACAGTTCAATGAATGTCAAGGGAGTTTCTGAAGCTTTAAATACGTTCCGAAAAACTTGGGGAATTTCCAAAAAACACCAGCCAAGTTCATGAGCGAGGTTCATGCAACATACAAACAGTAACATGGATATTAGAAAATTGTGATAACATTTTAAGGGAAGGTCCATGTTTTATAATGGCAGTTTCGAGACCTTTAAAAAATGCTGATGTTCCATGATTTTTTTAGAAAATTCTGAGAGTATTTAAGAAGTCCTGAAATCTTCAAGAAAGTCAAGAGACCTTCAAAGAAGTGAAGAGATTTTCCTGTGGTTTTCCAGTACTTCAAGGATGATCAGAGAACTTCAAAACAGCGCCATTAACTTCAGAAAAATGACAGGAACTTTCAAGGAGTTCCGAGGAATTATGGGATATTCCGAAGTGTGTTTCCAGAATGTTCCGAAAACTTCAGGGATATTGCGGTGTCTCCAGGGATATTTTATGAATATTATGAAAATTGCTGGATAAAGAATTAAAGAGATCTCTTTCTTCCGGATTTTTTCCCCAAATACTCCATGAAGTTTCTTCCAACTGTTCCGTATGTCTTCCAAATTTCTCCAACAATTTCTGCCAATCTACCTTAGGAAGTTTCTTACAGCGCCTCCAGGAAGTTTCCTCCATATTCTCTAGGAAGTTCAATTAAACTTTTGCCGAATGTGTCTAGAGAATTCTCCCAGAAATTTATTTTCGTCTTCTGGATATTTCTCCTGACGACATTCTCCGTAGGTTTTTTTTTTCGGCTTCTATTGGAAGGTTTTTCTGAGCTTCTTCTGGCTTCCCCTGGAATTGGCTACTTCAAGAATTCTTTATTGTTTCCGATGTAGCAATCTTTGTTACAGCTTTTTTTTTATAGTTTCCGATTATTTTCTGGATTCTTCTGGATGTGTGAACCGATTTTTTCCGAGAGTTTGTTCAATTTTTTGCCTGAAGTTTCATTATATTTTTTTTTACTATATCCAGGATATTTTTCAGACTTCTCTTAGAACTTTATTCAAACTTCCTCCAGAAGAGCTTATTAATTATTTCTCTGAAAGTTTTTTCGACTTCCTGTACAAGCTAATTCAAACATTCCCCGGAAATTGTTTCCGACTTCTCTTGTAAAGCATTTTTTCCGTACTTAGTCCATAAGTTTTAATTTTCGGCTTCAAAACGGCAAAAATATAAAATTAATTTATATTGTAAATACCGATCAATACCGATTTTTTTTTAAACATTTGATACCGATAAGTTAGAAAATAATCTGGCAACGCTGGCGACAATATTCAACAGTCTGGTACGATACGTGAGAGGAATGACCATCCACAAAAACAATAATTGGTAGCGGTATTGCTGTCTTTTTCAACCACGGTATAAATACATTCTTCAAATAATCAAAAAAATGTTTCTTGAGTCATCCATCCTGATTGATTTCTTCCAACAGCCCAACCTGGTGGGGCACTCCGCGCGATTTCCACCGAAAGACGTTGTTTGTAAGGGAGAAGAATCAACGGTGGAGCAAGCGTCCTGGCGGCGTAGGCCGCAAACAAAGCGGTACAACTTTCCTTCACGGAGTTTCCGTTGTTCGTGTGAACATAACTGCCGATTCGTCCATATTGAACACACATTCTGGCTCGCAAGAACTTGCTGTAGCTTTTCATTGTTTATAAATGAATTAACTACACTGTTGGGATTTTCTTTATTAGAGAGTTGTATAGATTTTTCTCCTTTAGTTTACTTAAATCTTTGGTTTTTATTAGTTAGGTAGGTTCCGATTCAACACATTGTAGTTTCATTTATATACCTGTGATCTTGACTTTTTTTTACCTAGGAGATGCGTACTTAAGGGGGTTAGAGTTTAATAAGTTCTTTAGTGGGAATGACACTGATGAAGACTGCACATTGTAGTCGAAATACGTATCTGTCATGGATACCAAAATGTATTAAGTGGAATTAAACGGAAGATAACCTTTTTTGCTGTTTTATACACTGTACCAGTTTCTTATCTGTTTTTTTTTCCGAAACCGCAGTGCGTTGCTTCGAGAAAGCACTCGGTACGCGTTGAGATATTTCAGGATGGCGTCGTAAAAACAGCTTCAACCACTTACGACCGGGGATTCCTCCAGTAAAAGGGTTAGGTCTGCCAGACAGCTGAAGAAAGTATCCAACAGATGTTTTCAATCTTTGGGCATCATTCCGCAGCCAAAATCGTTGGCTTCCCCCGTGAACGCTGCTTTGATTGTTTCAGCTTCCGCCGAACAGTGGCCTCTGGAACGCCAGAATAATTTGCTGATTGCCGGATAGATACACCTCTACGTGCCATGTCGACAGCTTTTCCAAGCTCAGCTTCGGTGTAGACTATGTACTTTTTATCGGATTTAATTTCGGATCCCATGTTTTCGTTCTGAAAATAATTAGGAACTGTATGAGCCTAAATTGACGAAAAGTTTTCGGTCGAAAAATTTGATTAAAACATAAATAAGTACCATTGTAAGCATCAGATCACTAGTAATACATACGTTCTTAGAGTTACAGATGTTTTTATCACTAAAAAACTGATTTTTATATGCAAACTAATAAAAAATGTACAACTCGTTTCTTAGCTCCTTTGTTATGGAAGATGAAAATTGACGCACTTGACAGACGATGTTTTTCTTTTGCATTTATTTGGCTTTACTAATGATCAACAGACAATTTGTTTTTACGAGTGTGAAGAATAAACGTAAACAAAAATACTTCGATTCATTTGAAGGTATAATTCTGCGTGAAATTCGAATAATCATGGAATTAATTCAAAAGTGCTTCAAATATGGTGCCTCAAGGGTATCAGTCCCATATGGATTTTTGCCAATATTAAGATAATAACACTATCCACTATCAATTGGCATCTACTTTCATATTAAGTGATATAACTACGATCTTTAATCAGGAAATATGAGAAAACAACATCCAGTCAGTTTGTCCCATCAAGCAAAGTAACCACATATCAGTCGCATCCTGAAATGCAATCGTCCAGAGGTCAAGTTACAGTTCTGATTTTTGAATCGCCATATTTTTCGCTGATATAACAAATCATGCAAGCTGCATTGGAACTGATTTTAACTTGACAAAATTATCGATTAATTTACAATGATTTTATAAATATTGACATGGATATTGCGCTTCCTAACTTCAAGTGTCATTTTCTCAATGCCTTCTGTTTCCATATGGGACTGATATGGGATTATAGGCAGTGCACGTGAAGACGCACATTTAGACGATGGTTGGGAAATTCTAGATGTTTTTTTCACGAAAGTTACGACAGTTTTTGTGTAAAAACGATCAATAGTGTTTATCATTCCAACCATATTTTTCTCGTTAAGGGTACAAAATAGGATAGTAAATATTACTTAGTATTTATTGGAGGTTGAACTATACACATTTACAATATACGTAACAATTTTGTTCATGTTTGCTCCTTTATGGGAAAAGTGTCATATGTGTCCTACTGGATTGTTTTACACAAAAACCGTCACAACTTTCGTAAAACAACATCTAGCATTTCTCAACAACCTTCAAAATATGCGTATGATTCTTTTGGTAAGTTATCTAAAATAAAGTCATCCTTAATAGGTCATCAGAGGTGTTTTGAAGTGCTTATAGATTGACACTAAACAATATTAAAAGTTCATTTGAGTTATAAAGTGTGTGTGTGTGTGTGTGTGTTTTTCTATTTTTTTTTTGGCACGGAGGAAACATTCAAAAAGGCCATCGTGCCACCTCTTGACGACTGGGCGCACAGTGACACGGTGTGTGGGATTCTTACTACACTAAAACCTCCTTGGACACCTTGCCCTTTTCCCCCGGAACCACTTGTCGTATTACTTCGGAGGGGGCCGTGCATTACGCACCTCACTTTACCTCAGCTAATTGGCGCTTCCAGTTCGCTGATCGTCTCTCCAATTTGTGAGCCAATGTAACCAACGCTTCCACGGTTACAATGATTCTTTGATTACTGGGGCAGCTTAGTTTATTAAAATATATATATTGTAAAAAAAACAAAAAAAATATTGTTAGTAAATGTTTAAACATAAAATATTTGTATATACTCCATGTTATGTGTTTGAGTGTCAAATATTGAGTGTTTATTAGCCTAAGGTTGGTATTTTCTCTCGGCATTGTGAATATTTATTCAGTAGTATTTAAATTTGTTCCTAGTTTTGTTAATCTGTTTCATTAAATTAATCACCATACAATATATATAAGGCGAACAAGCAATGAAAATATCATGCCATAAAAATTTAAATTCAAATTATCATTGGCCGTAATACCAACCTTCTCCAATAAAATTGTTTGTAGCTGCTGTCATCACCACTGACGCTGAGTCAACAAGAAGCCAACGTACGCGGCTTTTGTGTAGGGGATCCTATTGATGCGATGCTTTCCCCAAAAAGCTATATAAGGATTCCGGGGACAGGGTGATGGTGTCTTTTAATAATAGTTCGTCCGGAGGAGTGAAGTTCGCGGCTAGTCATTTTTTACACGTGACTTAGCGTTTCCACGTCAAGAGCTAGTTCAGATCCTTAGGATCGAAATTGTGATCAACTAGCGTCACCACACGCTCGCCAAGGGCTAGTTGATCCGTCGAGTGGGATAATAGTGTGGTGTTAAGTTTCTATGGTCCACGGTTCAGAAGGTAGAAGAAAAATAAATCGTGCTAGTACGACGCGAGTGCACGGACGGTCAGTGTGTGGCAAGTAAAACGCCAGAAAGTAAATTTGGTGAACCGTTGGACCTTTTGTTAAGACCGTCCAAGAACTTTTGTTAGAAATCCCACTCGACTAAAGTTAGACACTCGCGGTTAAAGTGCGCGCGCACAAAAGTGTACCACTCCCCGGACAAAGCGAAGTGAAACGCTGGTCTCCGTTACATAAAGGCCACCTGCTGCCGCATCTGGATTCCCCCCGTCGTCTGGAAGCCCTATGCAGCTGCATACGTTTGTTGTCGACCACCGATTCATCACGGCCGCAACGAGGAGCAAGTGAATGTCCAGAGTGAATAAATGCGCAAATAAAATGAACCCCTTTTAGATTATTTTCGCCATTCTACAAAATCTCACACTCTTATAGAAAACCCCTCAAAATAAAATAAATGTCAGGTCTAACTAAATTAAGCTGTTAATTATTAATTTGTTTGAAAATTCACTATGTTCTCTGCTTATTTTCCACCTTGATATATTATCCACTTTGAAATTGAAATATAATCCCTAATAGAACACAACCCAGTGATCGAAGATTAGCACAAAATGTGCAAAAACGTTGAAATTTTTCTACGTTACCAATTATTAAAACGACCCTAACAATTCTCACAAAAGAGGCCATTGTAAGGCCCACCCCGGACGGTTGCCGTGGCTTGACCAGCAGCTAGGGGCGTAGACACGGGTCCTTCTGATCCTTGTGAAAGAGAGAATAGTTTCACCATTTAGCTCCCAGCGTCACGTTCTACTCGGTTATCCCCGGTGGTGGATTCAGCCTACTCAGACGGAGAGTTCTCCCGGCTTCGGCTTTCAGTTCGCACTTGTGTGAGCACATTACTACTTTCTAGTTGGTCTTCTCGCCAGTTTCGCTGCAGCGCTGACATGATCTGCGTTACTGCTCTTCTGACGGCGTTAAAGGTGCCCTCCTCTCGACGACATTCTCCGCACTAAGGGCGAGCATCTCCACCCGCACTGCCTCAACTCTTGGGCAGTCGAAAACCACGTGCTCCGGCGTTTCGTCCACGTTGCCACACTCCGGCCAGAAGGGTGACGTTGTGTGTCCAAAGCGATGCAATTCCTGAAGCAGCCATGACCAGACAGGAACTGCGTCAAGTGGAAGTTGACTTCTCCATGCTTCCTGTTCATCCAGGTCGAAAGAATCGGTATTAGCCTGTGTGTCCATCTACCGTTCTCCGCTGCGTCCCACTCCTGTTGCCACTTAACCATCGACTCCGTTCTCACCATTTTCCTTACTCCTCTGGTATCTCTTCGCATATAGCATTCGGTGTCCTCCGCCAAGGTGATGACGATGGGTATCATACCGACGATAACACATACTGCTTCCGTCGAAATTGTTCTGTACGCACTCACGACTCGCATGGCCATGAGGCGGAACGTACTGTTCAATTTTCTTTGGTTCTTCTTCGTTTTCAGCGCTGCATCCCAGGCTGGACCTCCTTAACTCAGTATCGACGACGATACACTAGCCAGAAGACGCCTCTTGCTGCTGCTTGGTCCAGAGTTGTTCGGCATGATTCTAGCTATCGCATTGATGGCCTTCGCCGCCTTCTCACATGCGTAGTCGAAGTGGCTATTGAAGCTTAGTCGGTCATCGAGTATCACTCCAAGATACTTCCGCACGCGCTTTGATGCTATGGCGTTCTCCCCGACGGTAATTTCTGCTCGCTGAACAGCTTTACAGTTACTGACCAATAGCACTTCCGTTTTGTGGTGGGCTATCTGCAGCTTCGCTCCTTGCATCCAGTTGGAAACCGTGTTGATCGCCTCGGTTGCCAGCATTTCCACCTCTTCCAACGTCTCACCTACTACCGCCAACACGACGTCGTCCGCAAATCCTACGATCTCGACTCCTTTGGCAGCTTCAGCGTTAGCACGCCGTTGTACATCGCGTTTCAGACCGTTGGGCCAAGGATGGAGCCTTGTGGCACACCCGCCATGATCCGGATTGATTTCTCTCCCATGTCCGTCTCGTAGACTAGAACCCGGTTCTGGAAGTAACTCCTTATAATGCTACACAGGTAATCAGGAACCCTCATTCTATGCAGTGCCTCGGCGATGGCCTCCCGGCTGGCGCTGTTGAATGCGTTCTTCACGTCGATCATTATCACGGCGCAATATCGATCTCCTCTCCGCTTCTGTTTAGACGCTTTCTCGGCACTCTCAACCACTGTCCGAATTGCATCCACCGTTAACCTCCCTTTCCGGAATCCGAACTGCCTCACCGACAATCCATGCTCACTCTCCGTGCATTTCGTTAGCCTGTTGAGGATGATCTTCTCCAATAGCTTTCCGACTGTATCCAGCAAGCATATAGGCCTATACGATGCTGGATCTCCCGGCGGTTTTCCGGGTTTCGGCAGCAGCACTAGTTTCTGTATCTTCCATCGGTCCGGGAAGTGACCTTCATCCAGACACTTCTGCAGCACTATCCTGAACATGTCCGGGAACGCCTAGATTGCCGCCTTCAACGCCACGTTGAGGATTCCATCCGGACCGGGAGCTTTCTTCGTCTTCAGCCCTTTCGCTGCTGCTAGGAGTTCCTCGTTGG